CTGGTTTTAAAACACAAAAAAGAGAAAGAAAGCAGTTGAATAAATTATGGTGTGTATTTTCACATCATGGAGTGAAAATACATACCACAATTTTCTGTCACACAATGCAGTCAGAAAAAAAGACAGAGAAAGATCTTTATCTACTGATTTGAACGTAACTCTATGTTAGGTGTTGTTTTAAATAAAAAGCAAAATACAAAGTAATATATATAGTAGCTCATCTTTTGTAGAAAGGAGAAATAATATATATCATTCTTATTCATATATGTTATATATATATTTCTTATTTATATTTTTCCTATAAACAAATATATTATGTATAAACAAAATCCAGAACATGGGGCATTCTACACTCTGCTAAGTTGGTGGCTAGACAACCTTTTCCAAGTGCCTCAAAATGAACAAAAGTCACACTATCCAGTGACATAGAAAGCTCTCAGAAGAGATGAGATAAGTGACTCATGGATTCCCCTCAGCCATCTGAGCAGAAGCCAAAAGCAGAGATGGACTTATTCAGGAGAGCCCTGTGAAGGAACATCTTGTCTAACGGACTGAATCGCCGGGACTTACTGAGAAGACTCACCAGACTCTTTTTTTTTTTTGAGAACATTATACCAGCAGAAATGCCACCAGCTAGAACTGAAGAGGGAGAGAAGACAAGATGAAAGAAGACCGACAGGCTACCAAACTTTCAGGCAGGAAACAGGCTGGAAAATTACTTAGTGCAAACATACACTCCCTTTTGGGGAAAAGGAAGGATGACGCCAAAGGCAGAGCCTTAAGCCCAGAGAGAAGAGCCTCAGACCTCAGGAATAAGCATGAGAAAGTATTAGCTCCAGGCCTTGAAACCTAAAAGGTTCTTCCCAGTTGAATTTCAAAATTGCTTGGTACCAGTGACTCCTTTCTTGCTTCCTTCCTTCCATTTTCTCACTTTGGGGATGGAAACGTCTATAACTGTTAACCTACTATTAAGAACTGAAGAGGGAGAGAAGACAAGATGAAAGAAGACCGACAGGCTACCAAACTTTTACAGGCAGGAAACAGGCTGGAAAACTACTAAGTGCAAACATACACTCCCTTTTGGGGAAAAGGAAGGATGACGCCAAAGGCAGAGCCTTAAGCCCAGAGAGAAGAGCCTCAGACCTCAGGAATAAGCACCAGGAAGTACCAGTTCCAGGTCTTGAAACCTAAAAGGTTCTTCCCAGTTGAATTTCAAAATTACTTGGTACCAGTGACTCCTGTCTTCCTTTCTTCTTTCCTTCCATCCAACCATCCATTTTCTCACTTTGGGGATGGAAATGTCTATAACAGGGGTGGGCAAACTTGACTCCAGGAGGGCCACAATGGGTTCTTAAACTGGACCGGAGGGCCGGAACAAAAGCATGGATGGAGTGTTTGTGTGAACTAATATAAATTCAAAGTAAACATCATTACATAAAAGGGTACGGTCTTTTTTTTTTTAGTTTTATTCATTTCAAACGGGCCGGATCCGGCCCGCGGGCCATAGTTTGCCCACAGCTGGTCTATAACTATTAACCTACGCCTGTTCCATCATTGTATTTTGAGAACAGGTAACTTGTTTCCTAGTCTTACCGGTCTTCAGATGGAGAAATTTTGAACCAGGATGGATTGTATGAGTTTCGCCCATCCCTGATGGAAATGACTTAGATGATGATGAGTCTTCTATGTGATGTGATAGTTAGATGACATTTTGGACTTTGAGTTGATGTTATAATGTAAGGCTTTGTAGATCAGGGTAAGGCACTTAAATTTTATTCCATGTACAGTGGGAATCCACAACACAATTCCAACTGTCAACGTGACACCGCCTAATTTACATTTAAAAAGATCTTTGGTTTGTAATGTAAGGAAGTAAGAATGGAAGCAGGGAAACCAGCGAGAAAACGATTCCAGCAGTGTAGGCTAGAGAGGATAAGGACCCAGCCTACAATGATAACAGCAGGATGGAAAAGAGGATTGATTAAAAGCATATTCTGAAGGTAGACCTGACAAAATCTGCCAATAAATTAAATGTGGAAGAGAGTCAGAGAAATATAGAATAATTCTTAAGTTAGAACTTGAGGAACTGAGTAGACTGTTCTGTTTATTAGCTGAGATGGAGAAGACTGAAGAAGGGAGAGGCTCATGTGAAGAAATCAAGACTTGCATTTTAGAACAGGTCAGGTTGTTCTTCTAACAGACATCCAGACAGTAATATTAAGTAAGTAGGTGAATTAAGGGCAGAGAGTTCAAGGACAGCTCAGAGCTGGATTTATAAACTTGTGTGGCATTTAAAACAGAACCAGATAAAATCAACGAGAAAAAAAGATAGAAAAATGACGCAAACCCAGGACCAAACTCTGGTACATTCCAATATGTGGAAGTCTGACAGAGAGAAGCCAGCAAAGAAGAGAAGGAAGAACAGCCAGCAGATAGAAAGAAACGGAATATCATCTCAGAGATGCCATTTTACCAGAATCACTGAGACCAACTACAATTATTCTATTTTATGTAACCTTCATATGTTCTGCTTTATAAAAGTCCATCTTAAAATGCAACAGCTTTAGCATTAATTTTGAAAAGATTCAAATATGTGTGCAATCTCCACTAGGATAGGACAGTGTACTGAATGCTGAGGGGGTATCGAGCAGTTTAGAAACTTTTTCACGACATGACTAGAGTGAGATAAATTTTTTAAAATTTTAATCACAGACTTAACATTCTATAGAAAAATGGAAGAGAGAGAAATTGGGGCAAGGCGTGGTCTGAGAACTACCTGGCGAGGAATGGAGATAGCAATAAAGAATAGCAAGAGGAGCCATAATGAAAATGTGTGCTCATCATCCATCCCCATCCAGGCTTTCTCCACTGTAGCTTTCTGTTCCCACGGTAGCTACAAAAGGCCTTCGCACATTTCATTTTCCTCCCTCCTTGCTCTCTATTCTTGTCTTGATTCTCTCTTTACCTCACCACAGTTTTGATAACTTTTGATTCCAAGTGATTTGTACAGTAAGTACCTTTTGCTGTCCAAATAAATTCTGTGTTTTAGAAGTTTTAGTAAGACAGGTAATAACTATAAAATTATTTAAAACATTTTTATTAATTCTGGGTTAACATATTCTAAAAGACTAAAGATATTTACGTGGAGGAAGAAAATCTATAAATTTGTCCCCCATTTTAGAATAAGAAGCGCTATAACAGTGTGAAAATCATAATCCTAAATTTGACATTTCAGGGAACTGATTTCAATGTTCTCCTTTGTGGTAGCAGGGAAGTATATAGATAAACTACACTTTACTTTAAAACAGAACCAGATAAAATCAACGAGAAAAAAAGATAGAAAAATGATGCAAATCCAGGACCAAACTCTGGTACATTCCAATATGTGGAGGTCTGACAGAGAGAAGCCAGCAGAGAAGAGAAGAAAGGAACAGCCAGCCAGATAGGAAGAAATGGAATATCATGTCAGAGATCTGTTGAGGACTTACTGAAAATATGCGGACATTTCCCTGACAGGCAAACCATACTCATGTATCACATGTACTGCCACCGCCACAAACCTCCTCAGGGGGAAATGGCAGATGCCATTTTACCAGAATCACTGAGACCAACTACAATTATTCTATTTTATGTAACCTTCATATGTTCTACTCTATAAAAGTCCATCTTAAAATGCAACAGCTTTAGCATTAATTTTGAAAAGATTCTAATACATATGCAACCTCCACTAGGATAGGACAGTGTACTGAATGCTGTGGGGGTATCGAGCAGTTTAGAAACTTTTCCACGACATGACTACAGTGAGATAAATTTTTAAAAATTTTAATCACAGACTTAACATTCTATAGAAAAATGGAAGAGAGAGAAATTGGGGCAAGGCGTGGTCTGAGAACTACCTGGCGAGGAATGGAGATAGCAATAAAGAATAGCAAGAGGAGCCATAATGAAAATGTGTGCTCATCATCTAACCCCATCCAGGCTTTATTATACAGAAAAGAGGATGTTTCTAAATGAACAGCAATTGCAAGCAGGGACACATAGATAAACTAGTATGACCATGTCCAATTCACCTAGAAAGGATTTTTTCCCAACACTGAAGAAGCTGAGGCTTTTCAGACCTGTTGAGGACTTACTGAAAATATGCGGACATTTCCCGGACAGACCAACCATACTCATGTATCGCATGTACCGCCACCACCACAAACCTCCTCAGGGGGAAATACAAGGGAGGGGAGTGCAGCTAGTTGGCCAGACTCAGGTGGGCCAACTCAGTGTTCAAGAAAGATGCAAGAAAAAGAAAGTCCCCCAAGTTTAAAAAAGAGAAAAGGATAGTAAATTTATGATGACTCAGCCTCTGACCTCCCCAGGTCCATCTTTTCCTTTTTCTCATACCATTTCACAGATTCGTTATTACTAGTAAGTGTGGGGACTCCCAAGTTTCTTCTGACTCATCCAAATATAGAGAATACCTGGTTCCTTGCCTCCCGCCTAGTAACTGAGTGACCTTGCCTGGGGCCACCTTGTTGAACCACCCAGCTGCCAGTTGGCTCCTTCTAAGGAAGCACAGACAGAATGTTGGTGTCAAAAGATGTTGTGGTCTTTGGACATGTTCCGATTTGAATTTCAACAACTCCTCACACTTCCCTGATGGGTACAGTAACGGAACAGAAGTCAACGGGAGATCAGCCTGCACTCAGATTCCAGACCCTGAAAGGGAACAAAAATCACACCCTCCATTCTTTGCCTCTTCACCATGGCCAACAACTAACATGCTAGAAACCAGGCTCTCACAGCCCCTCAAAACTAAATAAATAAAGCAACAACTCCCAATATCCACATAATAAGCAATTGCACTTTATGGGTGCTCACGTCTGCAATACAAGTAACAAACATTAATATTTATTAAATTTTATAATTTGTAAGTCTAAATTATCCACCATATGTCATACACTGTAAAATGTTCATTTTGTATTTAAATATCCATGCAGAGCATTACTTACCTTTCCTAATACAGATAAGTTCATGTACTCCACAGGTTCTTTCTCCACCTTAAAAAAAAAAATTGTTAGGAGTTAAAAACAGAAAATAACCTGAGTTTGACTATCACAAAGTACCGTTTTTAAATTAGCTTCTAGTCTAGACATTAACGCAGGAAAAGAGTTTGCTAATTCTTCTCTTTAAACTTTGCTATGCGAATATGATAACCTAATACCGAGAATTTTCCTGAAGCCATAAATTAAGATTTTATAAAGTCTTAGAATTGATGGGGGAAATAAGACATTTGGGGGGGTGGGGGGTGGGGACTAGCAATCTGAATCTGTGCCAGTAACCTGCCTTCTAACCGCACATTCTTGCTTGCAGATAATTAACTCCATTTGTGAAAGGATGTAGGAGGCTACAAAAATTAACTCCATTTGTGAAAGAAGGTAGGAGGCTAGCAGCCTGACTCTGTACCTAGTTAATGAGTATCCCTAATGCACATTCTTGTTAGCCTATAATCAAGTCACTGCCCCTTCCTTAATTATCTGGTCTTGCAAGACCTATTTACCTAAATACTCCCATTTTACAGAGGCCATAAATCATGAACCATACACAACCCCCATAGGGGGTTATCAGCGCTGGCGCCAGGCCAGGCCTTTAGGTGAGGTCTCACAGCCCCCATCCCAACACACGGGGCTTTTTGCAGAGCCCGCGAAAGGTCCAGAAGTCTGATCCATATTTGGGGGACAAAGAAACCAAAGGGTATAAAGGGAAAGCTTCCTCCATATTGGGGGACTCAGGATTTGGAGAACTAGCCCCCTAAGTCACTGTACTAGTACATGTGAAACATCGGAAAAGAAATGGGTTTATCCTGAATCTCTGAGTACTCCTGTGAATTTTTCGGTCGCCTGGTAAGTTCTGTAATAGAAGAGTTTCGTTCAAATATTGATATTAAATGGCAACCTTCCCAAGAGCAGAAACATATCTCCATTTCCCCAGCACCTCTCCACGTCATCTAGAAGGAAGCACTTCCAGGCAAGACCCACTTTTGTGTCTGAGCCTTGATATATACAGGCAAGCTATTATGGAAGGATCAGCCCTGTACAACACTGTTTATTCTTTATCACATATACTCATTGTAAAATGAAATGTGATCCTTTCCCCATTCTCCAGCTACCCACTCTTATCTATAATAAGACAGTTTATAAAGAAATAGAATGATGATCAAAACTAACAAATTTAACCCAAAACTTACTTTATCATAAATATTATCTAAAATTACTTTATCGTAAGAGTAATATTATTAGTTACTATAGAAATAGTATTTACTTCACTCTGAAACATAGTGCCACTGCTTTATTTGTTAAATATATTTTTACTGATTTCAGAGAGAAAATGAGAGATAGAAACATCAGTGATGAGAGAGAATCATCGATCGACTACCTCCTGAACATCCACTACTAGGGATCAAGCCTGAAACCCAAGCAGGTGCCCTGACCAGGAATCAAACCATGATCTCCTGGTTCATGTTATGATGCTTAACCACTGAGTCATACTGGCCAGGCTAGTGCCACTACTTTAAATGAATGTAAGCTAGCCCTAGCTGGTTTGGCTCGGTGAATAGAGCGTCAGCCTGCGGACTGAAGGGTCCCAAGTTCGATTCCGGTCAAGGGCACATGCCTGGGTTGCGGACTCAATCCCCAGTACGGGGCGTGCAGGAGGCAGCCGATCCATGATTCTCTATCATCACTGATGTTTCTCTATCTCTTTCTCCCTTTCCCTTCCTCTCTGAAATCAATAAAAATATATAAAAATAAATAAATAAATGTAAGCTGAACAAAATTTTGTAGTGTCCTATAAGTATATTCATGATTATGCTGTAAATTGTTTAAACTTTGCATAGTATAAATAATATAATCACCTTAGTTCATTAAAAAGCTCATTATGAACAGTTAAGTTATAAGAAAAAGAAATCTCTTACAGCAATAAGATGGGAAATAAAAACCATAATTGTCCATTAAAAAAAAGTAGGTCATCCAGAAACCAAGCTAAAAAACTAGAAAACAGTATTTCTATCACCGAAGTAGGTTAGATCTACATTCTAACTTGGTTGTAACAATGCCATTGCTTCTTTATGATCAACACCACAGACTAATCACTGGTTATCAGGAATATACACTCAGCAAGAAAAAGCACCTCACGTAGCTATGGTTATAAAAGAATTATTAGTCAGCAAACCTCAGTGTAAAATACAGTGAGACCTTATTAACTGATTATTACCACTGAGCAACCAATGATCACTTGCTGAAGGGCTTCAGTGACTATACTTACACAGCCCATATCTTTAAAATGGAGAAGACACTAGTCAAATTACTGGAAGAAGAATATTTACCGAATTATAAGACACAAGCCTCAAGAAATTTAGAAGAATCATGTAACAACAACATAACTAAAATGTACACTGACGCCATTACTAATGTTTGCGTGGGCTTAGAAATGTTTCTTATGTAATCATTAAGGCCTGTTCTCTAGAAGGTAACACAGCTTAGTTTGAATTAGGTACTTAATTCATGTAACAAGGCTACACTTTTTAAAACTTGTAATTACAACTAGACTTTCCCCAATATTTAATATGAATTGGTTAGGTTTTACTATACACATCTAATCTTAAATGTAACTACACAGGTTTTTTTAAGGCTTAGCACTAACAGTAACAATAAAAACTATTATATTCTACGACTTTTCTCCATACTGCAGAATGACAATAAAAACTAACTGGCACTTTTAAAAGTATTCCATTTACCTACACATGAAAGAATTGCATAAATAAAAAGCTAAGTCAATAATTAGTATATTTTAAATTTAGAATCAATTGATAATTGTCAAATCTGCCAATGTATGCACAAAAATCACATAACTAGAGAAAGAAAAAGTGTGCTCTACTCCTCTTGCTATTTGTTCTGAAATTTCTAACCAAGTGAGAATTCACTGATGTACACACGGGACTTAAGAGCAATCACTATTATTACTGAAATGGAAAGGAATATTAACAATAACCAAACGCCAAACAATAAAAGTAAAATTTGGGGGAAAACTTACTTTTAAAAGTACAAAAAAAAAACCCTCAAAAAGTTAAATAAACTTCATTATGGTATCAGACACTTAAGTCAACACTCCTTTTTTCCTCAATCCTTCCTAAGACCAGGAAGAATGTAAGGAAAAAAATATGCATTCTATACGTTAAATGCATGTTTTAATGTATACACATTTGGAAGTGAAAAGGCTACAAATTGTATGCCTTTTTAAAAATCTCTAAAAGTAGATCTGAAAAATGACCCATTTGTAGGAAAAAGGCAAGTCATACCTCAACTTAGATATGATGGTAATCCAAAAAGGAGTTCTCTGATTTTAAGAATATAATTCATAACAGGAATGATTATTTTTTTAATTTCAGCTTTATTGAGGCATAATCACCATATAATATTATAAGATATTTAAAGTGTACATTGTGATTTGATACACTTATAATCAAATATAAATATATATATATATATCCAATACATAGGGGAATGATTTTTTTTTTTACATTTGTCTAGACCATGCAGAAGAGATGAAATGGTTACTCCATCTCAATTGGCAATGGTCTAATGTTATTTTATCCCATGCGTATAACTGCTCATAGCATTGAAAAGACTATAGCAGCAAATAAATGGGAAAGATATGATTATTTTTATTGAAATATATTTGACATATAACATTGTGTAAGTCTAAGATGCACAACCTGTTGATTTATACATTAATAAATGCACTGTGATTACCACATTAGCATTAGATAATGCCTCTATCATGTCATATAATTACCTTTTTGTATGTGGTAGAAACAATTGAGATCTAGTCTCTTAGCATCTCTGAAGTTTCAATACAATCTTATCTTACTGTCTATAATCATTATACTGTGCATTAATCTCCAGGACTTATTTGTCTATTGGTTGCAAGTTTATATCCTTAAAAACAACTCCTCAATTCCTGCACCCTTGAGCCCATAGTAACCACCATTCTACTCTGTTTTTATGAGTTAGGCTTTTTTAGATTTCACATATACGTGATATCATACAGTGTTCGTCTTTCTCTGTCCGACTTATCTCACTTACCATAATGCCCTCAAGGTCAATTCATGTTATTGCAAATGGTAGAATTTCCTTCTTTCCCATGTCTGAATAATATTCCATTGTACACATATACATACCACATCTTTATCTACTGACAGACACTTAGGTTGTTTCCATATCTTGGCTACCCTATCTAATAATAGACAAACATGGTAATTGACTGTACCTTCACTACGCTTCCCATTGGCTAATCAGGGCGATATGCAAATTAACTGCCAACAAAGATGGCGGTTAATTTGCATACGTAGGTGCAATACTGGGAGGCGAAAGGGGAAGGATGGAAGAAGCCGCCTGCCACTGACGGTGATCGAAAACCCAGGCGGCAGGCAAGAGCCGGGTGGCCCATGCTCGGAGAACCGGGGCCGCCTTTGCCTGCCCCCCGGCCAGTGATCGGAGAAGCCAGGCGGGGCAGGGAGCGGCCACCAGCAGCCGCCTCTTCCCTCCCCCACCTGGCCGGTGATCGGTGATCAGAGAAGCCGGGCGGGGCAGGGAAGAGGCGGCCCTGACTGCTACATAGATCGTGAGCACCTTTCAAACTGCACGGGTAAAACCCATGAGACCGGGTCCTGGCCGCTACGTGCCGCCACATAGATCGCGAGCACCGTTCAAACTGCGCAGGTAAAACCCCATGAGACTGGGTCCTGACCGCTACATGCTACCACATAGATCGCGGGCCGCCAGCAGCCGCCTCTTCCCTGCCTCTCCCCCCCCCC